CCCCCCCCCCCGTCACTACGAAGCGTGGTGACAGTGTCCCAAAACAGCTTGTGCACTTCAGATAGGTGTTGGATACCAGCTTAGAAAAGTCAGATAACCTAAGCGAGGTGTCTGAATTACAAAGAGCTTTACAAGGCATGAAAGACATCAACCTCAAAAGCATTGGTAAACTGTTAAATATCTCAGCTCTAGTCAGGAAAAGCATCAGGACACCAGGAACCTAGGAGAACTATAGAGAGAAATCACCCTGCCCCCCTGCCTCAGCTCTTCAGAAAACATTTCTTCAGTGCTGCAGAGTTATCCCATGGCGCAGAGGCAGCAGGCACGCTAAGGAAAGCTGCCGTAATATTGCTTTGCAATTACACAACCAAGGATTCTCCCTCCAGAACTCCATATATCTGGCAGCAACACAAAAAAGATGCAACAGAGGCTTGGTAGAGGACAGCAGCTGAACTCAGCCGAGGCCGCTCTGCGGGGAGTACAGAAGGTAAGCCTTCCAATTTGCTCAGGGGCAATATTCTTAGATTGAAAGTGCTAAGGAAGTCAATAGCCAGTATCTAATCTACTCTCATGTGCAAACTATATATAGGCAGGATCACCTTCCCGGAAGATTTATCGCCACAGCTATCTTTACACATTGCAAAAATACAGAAAAGGGTACAATATGAAGTGACGTATTTCTCTTTGGCAATTTGCATGGGCCAAGTTCCAGAGTCGAAGCAGCTGGAAAGCTGGGGTGTCTAAAACGCACCCACAGAAAAGCATAAGCAGGCCCATTTCTTCCTCAAAAGTTCTTTATGCCTCACAGAGCATGTTATTAGCATTACCTTTGTAATAACATACAGGACGGAGCCCTCCAGCTCTGAATACCGGTGTGACGGAGACGGCCTCTCACACACAGAAGAGTTCAGCAAGAACACAGGAAAAAAAAAACCCCAACACTGCGAAACATTCTCCAATACCTGCACTAAACAGATCAGTGTTAGGATTTCACAGTGAGCAAAATAGTAAATGCTGGAAGAACAGCATTAAGGTTGTCAGAGAATATACATGGAAAGATGAACTCAAGAATAGAAAAGCATCAGAGCTATGCCATGGGGATGGGGAGGACAAGGCTTTGGCACTCAGCGAGCCCATACTGTGACAAGATCAGGCACTCAAAATACAAAAAAATCTCCTTTAAGTTGACACAGCTAGAAGGTTTTGAAGCAACTGGACCCTGTGCAGCTCTGCAGCCCTGTCTGCTGTATTTACTTTGTTAAATTCAGCGGGACCTGGACAGGAGAGCTGGGAGGAGAGGAACCTGATGAAGTTCAACAAGGGCCAAGTGTTGGGTGCTACACCCGGGGAGGTTGAACCCCAGGCACCAGTACAGACTGGGGGCTGACCTGCTGGAAAGCAGCTCTGCTGAGAGGGACCTGGGAGTCCTGGGGGACGACAAGCTGACCATGAGCCAGCAGGGTGCCCTAGATGCCAAGAAGGCCAATGGCACCCTGGGGTGCATGAAGAGGAGCGTGGCCAGCAGGGCGAGGGAGGTTCTCCTCCCCCTCTGCTCTGCCCTGCTGAGACCCCACCTGGAGCACTGGGTCCAGTTCTGGGCTCCCCAGTTCAAGGAGAATGAGGAACTCCTAGAAAGAGTCCAGAGGAGGGCAACTAGGATGATGGGGGGTCTGGAGCATCTCTCCGACCACGAACGGCC